ATATATATATATATATATATATATATATATATATTATCAGTAGGAAGAATTATAATAAAGTTAATACCGTTTAAACTTAACACCTTATAAAGGATAAGTGTAGATAGTTTTTAGTGTGAAATAAAAGACCCTACTGCCTTTATTAATATTATAGAGTTAGAGTTATAGCTTTAAGTTAGTTAAAATTTAAATTCAATTAAAATTAGTAAATATTGAACAAAAACAACAATAATAATAATATTATTATTGTATTAATTATTTATTATTTTTTGTCATGAATTAATAATAAAAAGTGAATAAAAGTGAAATATTTATGAATAAAAAAAGAATTGTTGTAATGATAGTATATATATGACATAAGATTAAAAAAAAGTATTAATATGATTTAATATTCAAACAATATTTTTTTTTTTGCATTAATATATGATATAAAAGTCATTATTACACTTTTACCGATTTTATTTGTTGGAGAAAAAAAATTACTCTAAGATGAATTTAACATATGTTACTGAAATTTATAATTGAATTCACCAATGTGTTTATGATGACATCTAAAAATAATAATTCATAATATTAACTAACTATATCACTAAGTATATATATAACTAACTACTTACATCTCTAACAATTTTACACGATCTAAAAAGCGCATATTAGTACTTATGTTTATATTTTTAATATTATACACCGAGGAAAAAAAGTATTGTGTGACTTTAAATCATTTAAAAAAATAAAAGAGAAGTGATTAGTGAAAAAGTGTGAAATATTTGGATGATAAAATTTACACCAAAGTAGAGAAGTCAGAAAACAAAAATTAAATAAATAAAAAATAGTGAGTGAGAAAGAGTAATTTAAAAATAATTATAAAAATAAATTAGTCTAAAAAATTGTATAGATAAAAAAAAACTCCTTTATTATTAATAAAGAAGCATAGATAGTATATTAGCCTTAGCTCATTCTCTAACTAAAATGAATAAACTAATATATATATATATATATATATATATATATATATATATATATATTAAATAATTAATAATTAATTTAACTACGGTTAAATTATTAAATTGTAAACTAATACTTTTAGGTATTCTATTTGTTTTTTTTTTCACAAAGAGTGGTAGAATGGTAGGAGGAAAATCCCACCAAAGAAGAATTACAGCAGAGTTAAGAGGAAAGCAACAAAATTCACAAAAGAGAATAGAGAACAAGCTCAATTTTTTCATATATCATGAAAAAGAAAAAGAAAATATCTCCCTATAGTCAAGGAGAACCGTACAAGTGGCAAACATCTAAAGAAAAAGATTATTCTAGAAGTATTTCCTGCAATAGCTAAAATATCACTTAGTCACATAGTCCTTAAGCCATAAAGGCCTTCTTTTCTCACGGTTGGGCCTGGTAACAACTTCCAGCCCATCAATACTCCCCTCTAAGAGATAAACCTTGTCCTCAAGGTTTGGGTTTGTGGTCTGCGAATTGGGCCAAGAACCTGGCAGGTTGGATAGCTGAGCAGGTGGAAGGAAAGTATCTGGAATCACTAGTACAGAAAGGGTCTTTTACGTCGTGTATTTTTAAGTTGACTGGTTTCTCTAACAGTGATTGGGATGGTTCCATTGATGTTATGAGAAGGCTACTGTTTTACTCTTGGATCTAGTGTTTTCTCATGGAGTTGAAGAAGCAAGAAATCGTGCCTCAATCCACTGTTGAAGCAGAATTCATTGCGGAAACAATTGTTGTCAATCAAGATTTGTGGTTGAGGAAGATTGTAGTGGATCTGAATCTGGAGCAGAAAGAAAGCACCAAGATATTGTTGACAACCAAGTTATTATTGCTATTTCACATAATCCTGTGTTTCATGGGAAAACTAAGCATTTCAACACCAAGTTATTCTTCCTAAGAGAAGTGCAAAAAAAGGAATGTGTGACTTTGATTTACTTCAAGTTTGAAAATTAATTGACAGATTTATTTACAAAGTCACTTTTAGTTAGTAGGTTCGAGCTTTTAAGGGAAAAAATTGGTGTTTGCAACTCCTAAAGTAAGGAGTGTTAGCAAAATGCTTCAAGACTGAAACCACATTTTGATTATGTTATTTTATTTATTGTTGCTTTCCTAGTCTTACGGAGTCAGTTAGAATGTTTTAGGAGTTTTTTTTATTCTCTCTATTCTGTCCATGGCTTAGCATTAGTGGAAAATCAGTCTTTTACGTCACCCAACTTCTCACTATCACTTCTCACTTTCTCATCTCACTCTCACTCTCGCGCGGTTTCAAGCTTCAACCATGGCTTCTTCTATCTCTTGCTCATAGCTTCAATGGTTGCGTCAACTCATTCTCCTATTGGATCCTCATATGGTAATATCTCTTGTGATTTTGTCTTCAATTTCAATTTTAGGGTTTGTTTTGTATGATTCATTTCTTCTATTTCCGTTTCAAACTCTTTCTCTATCTCCATCTCTTTCTGTTACAGAATAAATGTTTCGATTTGATTATGCTTTTTGTGTTAATCTTTTAAATACAAAATAGTTATGTTTGGAAATTTTGGAAAATTTGGTTTGGGAAAGGGAGTTGTTGGACTCATGTTGATCATGCTCTGTTGCTATGTTAAGTTCTTAAAATTTCTAATGTAGTGTAGTTCTTCATTCACAGTTATCACTTTGTAGTAGATCTTGTACAATCTATGAGACATGAATTTCCGTTACTTATGGCTGTTGCATTGCAAATGCAGATTCTAAAGAGAAAAGTCATCTTTCTATTGCGGGCTACTGATTGCAATCTTGCAGTTTGATTTGAGCAACTAAAACAAGTTCGTATTGTTAAATGTTCTAGACCACTAATATGTTATCAATTGAATTTGTTAATGTTGTTTAAATAGCTTTCTTATATTTAGTTACGTGGCATTTGCTTTTCACCTGGTTTATGGAAGTCAACATAAGCTAAGTGATGATAAATGTTAAATACAGCATTGGCTAGCATATCATAATACGAGCTAATGGTAATAAAAGTGGTTGGTTTAATAGAAGACTAATAAACAACAAAGAGGTTTTGGCTCCTACAACCCGAAAAACAAAGATAATTGATGCAAAAGACGTTTGATGTCCTGCATCCCTACTCCTTGACCGGATTTATTAAATTTCTCTCATTTCTGATCCTTAGTCTGTGAAGATGAAGCACCTTCACTTGTTAACTTAAAGCATCTGAATATGTGAGTTCAATCAATTTCCATGACTTTGATTTCCCAATTATGTATTATACACCAGATATATCATGAAATTAATATTTCATGAAGTACTAAATAACAATATGATAAAATTCTTTGCAAGACAGAGTCGTAACCTATACATAACTTTGATTTATTGAATTTATTTTGTCCAATAGCCAAACAATTTTGGCACTAAAACTGCGATTTGAATTTTCAATTTGCCCTTCAATTTTTTTATATTTTTTTATACAAGTATGTTTGGTGATTTTCTCATTCCTTTTTCTGCTTCCTAAGTGGGTGAAGGAAGTTCAAATAAGAGCTGAACTTTTCTGCTCAACAGAGAACCACGAGAAAGAGTGACAGAGGAAAATGAAATTTTCACCACTTTGGTATGGATTCTAGCTTTTTCATTGATGAGATTGTAATTTAAATGCTGAAGTGTTGATTCTTTTCTCAGCTTTTTGGTAGTTCCATTGTAGTTCATCACTTTATGGTAGAGTTTCTTCCTCCATTGGGAAAAAAAGGTATCTGTTTCTTTCTTACTTTCTTGATATATTTTTTATTCTCTTGAAGATATGAAGGATTCACAGGAAAAGTGTTTCTATTGGGTGTTGTTCAAAAGTGAAGTTATGTTTGGTTGGCTTGGTTTTGGTCTCTTCTTTTTTGCTTAGTTCATGTAGAATACATGTTATTGGGATAATACTTGTCTCAATTGGATCATAGTGATGGTTTCTCTAAATCAAAATCTTTAAGAATTTAAGGTTCAAATAAAATGAGTGGAAAATGAAATGTTTAAGCAATGCATAGCCTTCGA